GGACGCCATGAAGCAGCTGTGTCTGTGCGCAGCCGCCTCCTTCGCGGTAGGGCCTGGGGAGGGGGCGCGGGAGCGGGCGGGGCGCGGGTACTTCCTCTTCCCTCTCTTCCCCGTCCCCGGCTGACCTGGACCACCCCCTCATTCCAGACCCGGGAAAGATGGGCGGGGGAGGGGACAGAGGTTGGGGCAGCTTTTGGGGGGATGGAAGAGACATTTGGGGAGACATGTGGACACGTTTTGGAAGACACTTGGAAACAAATGGGGACATTTAGGAGCATTTAGAGGGCATTGGGGGGTGCAGTTTTGGGAAAACATTTTGGAGACAGATGGGGTCACTGAGGGGACAACTTGGAGGCTATTTTGGGAGAGGCGATTTTGCGAAGAGGTAATGGTTTGGAGAACAGTTTTGAAGAACAGTTGAGGGATTTTTTGGAGGATATTTTTGGGACATGACGGGCTCATTGGGAAGGATGGTTTTACAGAACACTTCAGGAATTTCGGGGAGACATTTTGTAATGCATTTCAGGCTATAGTTTTGGGAGGAGAAGCCTCGGGATGTTTAGGGGACACTGGTGGCATTTCAGGGCAGTTGTGGATAAACAGTGCAGAGGATGATCCTGAGAGACGTTTAGGGGGCCTTTTAGGGGTTCAGATGGGACTTTGGAGGGTAGTTTGGAAAAGACTGATGGATCCATTTGCTGGGGGCGATGTTTGCAGGGGTGGTTTTCACTAACGGATGAGTTGTGGGACAACTTTTTTTGTTGTACACACAAGGGGTCTTGCTGTGTTGCCCAGGCTGGTCTCAAAATTCCTGGGCTCAAATGATCCTCCCACCTCAGCCTCCCAAGCAGCTACAGGCATGAGCCACCACGCCCTGCTGACTTTTTTTATTTTTTGTAGAGACGGGGTCCTACTGTGTTGCCCAAGTTGGTCTCAAACTCCTGGGCTCAAGCGATCCTCCCACCTTGGCCTCCCCAAGTGCTGGGATGACAGGCATGAGCCCCCGTGCCTGGTCCAGGGAACAACCTTTTGTCCCTGCCAGGGGGCTGCTCAGGGGATGATGCTGGTGGTGGGCTTTTGTTGGACAACTAGGGTGATGGGCCTGGGGGCAGATGCTGGGGGTCACAGGCTTGGGGAACACTGTCTGAGGACCCCCTCGCCCAGGACCACCTCCCCCTGCAGCTGCGGCTCAGCCCCACTGACCTTGGCTCCTGCCCGCCCTGCGGCCCCTGCCCCATCCCGAAGCCGGCAGCCAGAGGCAGGCGCCAGGCAAGTGCCCAGGGGCAGGCGGTGAGAGTCCGGAGGCCCTGTCAGGGGGCGAGGGGAGGGGGCAGGGGCCAACCCTGCCCCACGCACCTGTGGGTGTGCCCTGCAGAGTCAAGACTGGGGCAAGAGTGACGAGAGGCTGCTACAAGCTGTGGAAAACAACGATGCACCTCGGGTGGCCACCCTCATCGCCCGCAAGGGACTGGTGCCCACGAAGCTAGACCCCGAGGGCAAGTCCGCGTGAGTGCCCGTGACCCGGGAGAGAGATGGCTGAGGGGTGCAACCTGCTGGCTGAGCCCTTGTCTCTCACTTCCAGGTTCCACCTGGCAGCCATGCGGGGTGCGGCCAGCTGTCTGGAGGTGATGATAGCTCATGGTGCCAATGTCATGAGCACGGACGGGGCAGGTACTGCCAGCTGGGCCCCGGGGAGGGAGGAGGAGCTCAGCCCAGGTGCCCAGTCTGAGCGTCCAGCCAGGCCCTGATTCCAGGCCTCAATGTTCCCCGCTGAAAAAGGGGGAGGCTCCCTCTGGTGCCCCTCCCCTGCCCCCAGGGAGACACACAGGGGCATGTTAGGATGGGGTGGCCAAAGACAGAGACTGTGGCTGGCACTGAGCAAAGCGAGTGGACAGCTTGTGGATGGGGAGTGACTAGGATTCAGGTATTGGTTCAGTTGGATGGGGAAATAGCTGGCACAGGGAAGTAGCTGGGGCTTGGAGGATAGCTGCAAAGTTTCTGGGGTTTTGTTGTTTTGTTTTTCTTTTTTTAGGGGAGGGACACAGTCTCCCTTTGTCACCCAGGCTTGAGTGCAATGGGCGTGATCTCAGCTCACTGCAGTCTCCACCTCCCGGGCCCAAGAGATTCTCCAACCTCAGCCTCCCAAGTAGCTAGGACTACAGGCGCACACCACCACGCCCAATTAATTTTTCTATTCTTAGCAGAGAGATGGTCTCCCTGTGTTGCCCAGGCCAGTCTTGAACTCCTGGGCTCTAAGTGATCCTTCCACCTCAGCCTCCCAATGTGTTGAGATTATAGGTGTGAGCCACCATGCCCAGCCTGGGGAAGTTTCTAGAAAGTGACTGAGGCAGAGGAAGAACCTGGGGCTTGGGAGATAACTGGGACTATTGGACGAACTAAGCTTTGAGGTGTATCTGGGATGTGGGAGTATCCGAGATCAAGGAAGTGACTGAAGGGAACTACTTGGAGTTTGGAGGAGGAACTGGATTCATGAGAGTGGCTGAGCTTGCAAAGTATCTGGGGCAGGAGAATAACAAGTAGAGTTTGGGGAATATCTGAGGTATGTGGGATAGCTGGGATCTAGAAGTAGCTGGAGTTGTGGGAGCAGGTGGAGCTGTGGGAGTAGCTTGAGCTCTTGGAGTAGGTGGGGTACAAGGAGAACTTGTATGTATGTATGACTTACCTGGGGACCTGGGGGGAATAACTGAGATAAAAATGTGTGGCCAAAAGGACTAGCTGGGGCTCAGGAGGCAACTAGCATGGGGACACAGTTAAATCTGAAGCTTTAGGGCCACAGGCATGATAGGCAGGGTATATGGAGTAGCTGGGGATTCGTGGAGCATCAAACAGGGACAGAGTTGGCATGTGGAAGAGCAAGGGTTTGTGGATTGGAAGAACATGTACGGCAACTGTGGGTTGTGAAGGGCAGAGCTGAAACTTTGGTGTAGTTGACCCTGTAGAGTATCTGGGGATATGGGGAGTAGCTGAGGCAATAGGGCTTGAGGAATGGGGGGTGTGGAGAGTCACTGAGGTGGGATTGTCTGGAATACAGACTAGCCACGGCTTGGAGAGTCTCTGGGTACAGGGAATAGCATGGTTTTGAGAAGTACCTGACGGTGAGGCACAATGGCTCATGCCTGTTAATCCCAGCACTTTGGGAGGCTAAGATGGGAGGATCGCATGAGCCAAGGAGTTCAAGACCAGCTTGGGCAACATAGCAAGACCCCCGTCTCTACAGAAAATACAAATACAGTAGCCGGACATGGTGGCACTTGCTTGTAGTCTCAGCTACTCGGGAGGCTGAGACAGGAGGATCACTTGAGCCTAGGTGTTCAAGCCTACAGTGAGCTATGGTCACACTGCACTCTAGCCTGGGTGACAGAGCAAGATCCTGTCTGTAGGGAAAAAAGAGAGAAATACTAGGGTTCAGGGACTTTGCTAGATACAGAAATTCATCACAAGTCATTGACATGGCTTGGGGAGCAGCTGGGAGCTACTTGAATAGCTGGAGCTCCAGTAAATCTTCTTTCCTTCCCCAGGTTACAATGCCCTCCACCTGGCCGCCAAATACGGGCACCCACAGTGCTTGAAGCAACTACTGCAGGTCATTTACTTTCTTATCTCAGCTACTCCGTTGGCCCCTACTACTCCTGAGTTCCAGCAGTTCCTTGAACCCCCAGATGCTCTATGAATCCTAGATATTCCTTGGCCCCTTTTACTCCAGAACCCTAGCTACTCCCTGGATAACCAGATACTCTCAGACCATCCACATGCTTCTCTTATTTAAGATATACTCCCGAGCCGGGCGTGGTGGCTCAGGCCTGTACTCCCAGCACTTTGGGAAGCTGAGGCCGGTGGATCGCCTGAGGTCAGGAGTTCGAGACCAGCCTGGCCAACTTAGTGAAACCCTGTCTCTACTATAAATACAAAAAATTAGCTGGGAGTGGTGGCGTGTGCCTATAATCCCAGCTACTAGGGAGGCTGAGGCAGGAGAATCCCTTGAACTCGGGAGGCAGAGGTTGCAGTGAGCCAAGATCACGCCATTGCACTCCAGCCTGGGCAACAAGAGTGAAACACCATCTAATAAAAAAAAAATATATATATATATATGTACATATACTCCCAGTGCCAGGTATTTCCTGAGTTCTGTTTCTCCCCAAGCCCTAGGTCCTTTCTTAGACCCAGAC